ATAGAATAGAATAGAATAGAATAGAATAGAATAGAATAGAATAGAATTCATTACTGGCCAAATGTGATTGGACACACAAGGAATTTGTTTTGGTGCAAATGTTCTCAGTGTACATAAAAGAAAAGATACATTTGTCAAGAGTGAAGAATCATCAGATACAACACTTAATAATAGTCATAGGGTACAAATAAACAATAAAATTGTATTAGGAAATAATCAATATAAATCATAAGGATACAACCGACAAAGTTACAGTCACAAGTGGGAGGAGATGGGCGATAAGGGGTGATGAGAAGTTGAATAGTAATAATATTGCAGACTTAATAAATAGTTGGACAGTGTTGAGGGAGAAGAGAAGAGAAGAGAATAATAACTTTATTTTCACTTTTAATGTACACTAATCGGCATACATTAAAATGAGACTTCATTGGATACAGCTCTCAGTGTCTCCACCTCCATATACTTTACATAACCATGACAGAAAGAATGAATGAATTGTGTACATGAAATATTTAACTTTCTTCAAAGTTAAATATGAATATATATTGAAAGCCTGAAAGAAGAACAAAGTATTTGTTTTACAATAAAAGTTTTACAAAAGAGGTCTTAAGCTGTTACTTATTAAAAAATTCTTCATATTGTTTCATTGTTGTATATATTTTGATGGATGTACATGAATAGCTGCCCAGAATCATCTTATAGAGGAAGTAAGAAGCATAAAAAATAAATAAGGATGCAGGTGTTTTGGTATGTGTTAGAAAAAATAATGAACAAAACTAATTTAGCAATTTGGAAATGCTGAAAAACAGTGAAAGAAGAGGGAAAAACAAGTGAAATAATCATGAAAATGAAGAAGCTATGGAGTACATAATAAAAACCATTTATTAAATGTGTATGCCACCCAAAATTCAATGATTCCAGGTGCTTCACAATAAAAACAATCATTGTAAAGCGTACAAAACAATAATAATAAATCATTATCTTTTAGGATCTTGGTCTGATTGTCAGCCAGTTATGGTTTAGTCACCAACAGAAAAAAAAGCCACCGTTTTAAAATTCTGCCATCCCAGGGAAATGCTTCATACAGTTGGACTGTTTAACACTTTAATTTACAGTAAATCAATGTTTTTCAAAGTTGACAACTTTTAAGGTTCTGGTTAATGAATTCTGGGAGTTGAAGCCCATATATATTTTTTTGAATTTGAGATGCCAAATTTGAAAAACATGAGTTTAAATTCTCCAGATACTAAATTATTTAATCCCTCATTCATTTTCATTTTAGAACCCCAAAATAAAAACCATGCCAGATTCTCCCTTATAGTTTTCAAAGTGGCATCTCTTTGACCGAAATGAAAACCATTTGAAGGGCGAGGCTTAACTTGCACCATCTTTTCCTTTCCTGCAAACTTCTCACCCGAGATATAGGTTACTAAAATCATTGGTGACTCTAAATGGTTTCTATACTTTTTTTCTTTTCGCCTGGAGGAACCTCGAAGAAGTCAAATATTCCACACTGAGGTGGTCTGAACTGATCAAAGTTTTGCTACCTCCTACTAATTCTGCATAATAGCTGGATTTGAAATATTAACTTATTTTGAAAAGGAAGCTCAGGTTTCTGCTTAGAAGGGATGAAATATCATTGTATCCCGAAAAATCAACATTAAAAAATGACTCACTTAGAATGAAGGAGTTCAGCATGGGACACCATGTTCTTTGGCACGAAAAAGCCTTTTCTTTCAACTGGCTTGGCTCAAGAAAGACGTTATTTTGGATTGCTGCCTTTCCTGCCACAAATTCCAGTTAATCACACCAGTGGAGGAGAACTTGAGCTCCGTGACCTAAGAAACAGAAAATCCAGGTTACCCAGCCAGCTAAAGGTAGAGGAGATGAAAAGGACATGGGCGAAAGAGCAGTATGTTTTTCCTGGCAACACATCGATGGCTTTTTAAAGACCAGGAAGCCATGTTTACTATGTTTAAATATTGGTTTTTAGAAAGCAAAAACCACAATTCTCTTTATTTTGTAGTCCGCCGGTTATAATAATGTTTCCCTCCACCCACAACTGAATTAGGCTCCCACCGATTGTGTTTCTCAACTTTGGCAAATTTCGTATTTCTGGACTTTAGTTCCCAGAATTCCCCAGCCAGCTTTGAAACTGGAATTGGAGTCCATACAACTTAGAGTAGATAGGAAGGAAACAAAGAGAAGGGAGGAAGAAAGAGAGAGGGAGGAAGTGAGGAGGAAAAAGGAGGGAGGTAGGGAAGGAGGAAGGCAGGAGAAAAAAGAGGGAGCAAGGGATTAAAGAGGAAGGAAGAAGGGAAGGAAGGAAGGAAAAGAAAGAGGGAGGGAGGAAAAAAAGGGAGG